CGGGATGGACACCCCTTGGGCCCTGAGTATCGTGTCCTTCATCTAGTAATGGACTCACCTTTACACTTGCAACTGCAGTTGCATGCATGTTTTAAAATGTGCACAGAGAAGTAATCAAACATCAGCGGTCTCTCAAAGCTATGAAAGCCTGAAAGAACAGCCTGCTCCTCTCTCTCCTGTACTCAGATGCCCAACAACTAGCACCTGTCATTCACTCAAGAGCTCCTCTGAGTATGCAGCAGAATGGAAGTGAGCACTTACTGATGCCCATCTATAGGCTGCCAGTTTGAGCAGCTAGAGGCTTCGAAGTTAAAAGCCTCCTTTCTTTCCCCAAAGTGCAGCAAACAGCACTGTGCTGCTGGCTGAAAACAAAACACATAGTGAATGGATGCTGGCTAAAGACCCCATCCAAAGCCCATGAAAGGCAATGATAATCTTTGCACTGACTTCAGTAAACTTTGGATCAAGGCCTTTATTAGGATATTTGACTAAAGGCTGGTTTTAGCCTGGCTGCAGGTCTGGTATGCAAGGTTGGGTATGTTGTGGCATGAATCCTCCCCTAGCAGGCACACACTCTAGCTCAGTTACAGTTCCTGCTCTCCTAGAGACCACAGTGCAAACCACAGCACACAGCATTCCCCAGAACAAGTGGCTGGAGGGTTGGTGTAGGACCAAATACACTACTTGTGTGGTATGCGTGGCAACAGTTATGTGTCCCCCAAATGCTCAAGGTTGGAATCCTCTTGTGGTAGTGAGGCTCCATCACCCCCAATATGGCCCAGTGCCCAACAGGATCAGCCACCCCAAGGGTTCAGCCGTGCCTCAGCCCTGCTATACTTCCAGAAGCCACAGCCACCATTCTCCCAACATCTAAGCAAGGGCAGGCCTTAGTCCCCAGCTCTCCCTAACTCTAGCTACCGATGTCCCAGAACACACAGCCTGCCTGCTTCACCTCACAATTCTTTCAATTAGCCTCAGTAATTCACTTATTAATCCCTCAGAGCACCCAGTTAGTAGCTCCACTCTGCACCTTGTAGCCACAGTAACTCTTTCGTTGCCTCAAATTGACTGACCCATCACCCCGATTCCCTGTCATGTTGGCTGGTGCACTGTGTAATGAATTCTTGGCCCTAATGACTTCTTCACTACACCTGCCATTTCCTGACCTCTTTGCATAGTTACTTCCCTGCCTAATTATTTAACTCTACCTGATTAATTTCTTAACTGTTTGTTTGATCCTCTACTGCATTAGTGATGTTCTGGTCAACTGACTGACCCATTGCACAATTGATTTGCTGCCTAGTTGATGAATTAAGCCACTGCTTTAGTGGTTTCTCTACTCAAGTAATTGGGAGCAAGTCAGCAGGGTGATAAACCAATCAGATCAAGGATCACAATGCCCATTCTCTGCTGTATGGTTCATTGTTTCACTCACCCTTCCTTTCCCTTTCTTCCTCATCTTCCCCTTTGCTCCT